CACACACACACACACACACACACACACACACACACACACACACACACAGGAGTAGTCTTCTGGATGGTTTGTGATGATTTGTGAAGGGAATGAGAGAGAGAATCTCGGGTATTTTAAAACAACACACACACACACACACAAAAAAAAATACCCACACACACACACACACACACACACACATGATGTATATACGACTTCCTCTCCAGTCCGCACTGACCTGCATGCGTGTGAGCGCCGTAAACACCTGTTCCAACCCCAAACACGGCCATCTTAAGGCTTAGAGCCTTAAGATAGCTGTCTCTTTCATTTCAAGGCCCAGGTCATTTTTGTGCGTATCTGAGCAGATTCGTTCGTCAATATTCTTCTTGTGGATGTCACAGCTGTTCTTTTCCGTTCTCTAGATTCTCTACCCATTTTTGTGGGCATACGGGTGCGCAAACCATCCTTCACATGAATGTGTACAGTCCGAAAGACGGGTGGGCAATACGCGTTTACACGGGTGACGGGCCCAAAAAAGTGTAGACTTGGGCAATACACGTTTACACGGGTGACGGGCCCAAAAAAGTTTAAGTGCCATAGAATCTCTTTCCGGATGACAGTGTGCGAGCGCATTTTCTCTCTGTGGCAGCAGCTGAGGCTGCACACAGTTTCTTCCACTTGGGGCCTACCAGTTTAGCTATGTATACTACTCTTTCTTGACTTGTTACTCAGGTAGATAGATGTACATAGCATCCAATCCTGTCTCCATTCATTTCCACTAGCAATGTACTTGCTCCAGCAGGTCCCTTCCCGTCTGTGTCTCTTCAAACTTGTTTTTATTTGTCAATCTCGTTAATTTCATTCAATTCAATTTTTTAATTTTTTTTTGTCTTCTGCATATCACAGTCACAAGTGGGTGCAGTTTTTCCATCCGCAAGTATTTATTTATTTGTTTATTTAAACATTTTCGAATATTTTTAGCATTTAGCTAGGGTGTATCGCAGAACTTTTCCTCTTGCTGATGGCAGTGTTGCATGCCGGCACGAGCAGCGACCACACCAGGACTGTCCTGATTTTTCTTTTCTTTTCTTTTCTTTTTTCTTTCCTTTCTCTTTTTTTTTCCCCTTTTTTTTTTTTT